GTACTGTTTGCCATCTGGATGAACAGAGGATATAAAAACAGACAGCTTTGCTGTAATTAATGGTTCAGTGAATTGACACAGTAAATTATCTTGTGTCTTTACAGCTTCAGTGACCTAAATTAAATTAAATGAACAGGTCACTCTGAGATTAAATTCAAGTATTTTTGTCTGTGGCCTGTAGTGCTAATGACCCGTCTACATTGTTTTGGTGTGCGTTGCCCAGTTTTTGAGATATCAGCTGTGGAAATCAGTGACTTTCCTTGAATCTAATGGAACATGATCGCACTTGCCTTGTGCTGCTTCAGATGCCAAAAGAATGCACATAAACAGAGTTCCTACAGTGCTCACAACAGGGTTTGAGGGTTTTCGAGTAACCGGGTCATGATTTCCAGAAGGAGATATCGCTGCTGACTTTTTCACATTAATGTTTTTGGAGCTTGGAGCACCTCAAGGGAAGTGCCATCGGGTCCCATTATTTTCAACAGGGGATAATATTTTCTAAAGCTGATATCTTCAAATATGGGCATCTCACTCCAAAACAACCTGAATGGTTAAGTTAACTGTCCCTTTAAATCAGATGTTTCTTAATCCAGACTTTCACACAAGACATTGCTACAAGTCAATATTTCAATTCAGTTTGAAACACAAATTCATAACAACAGTTGCCTCAGGGCACTTGATATTGTTGGCTACAGACCCAACAATATTGGAAAGAAAACCAAAGACCAAAGACCCATTGTAGTACCAACTAGTGCCAGCAAATGTAAGCTCTGGAAATGCTAAAAAAAACAGCTAATTTAATGTAGCTTCTGAAAGTGTTAGCATGTATCAACACGTTTGGGATTTACCCACATATATGTGCTTGACAATATGTGGCAGCTATGGCACTCATTACCAACATACAGGCACCCATTCAGAAATAAAGAACAATTGGATTTCATTCCCAATTCAGTTGCAAGCTGGCTCACTGTCACACTGCCATGGTTTAATGGTACACTTGAACAGAGCTTTCATTTATTTTATTTGTGATACTTGAACTTTTCCTGTACAGAAAGGTCAGAATCTCTGCTGTGAATAGATCAGAAATGATTTGGTCTCAGTAATTTTCCCAGTTAATACATTTGATGTTTTCCATGTTCTATTGTAAATTTGGGGATTTGCAAATCACTGAATTCTGGGTTGTTTTTTTTGCACTTTACACATCATCCCAACTGTTTGGGAATTGGAATTGTAAATCCATGTGCATTATTATGGAAATTGTTCCCCCCCTTACAGCTACAACAGCTTCCCCTCTTTTTGGGAAGACTTTCTACAAGCTTTTGAAGCTTGTCTGCGGCAATTTGTGCCCATTTAATAGCATTTCTAAGGTCAGACGTTGATGTTGGATGAGAGGGCCTGGCCGGCAATCTTCTTTCTAGTTTATCTCAAAGGTACGGTGGGGTTGAGGTTAGGGCTCTGTGTGGTACAGTTAAGTTGTTCCAAAATCATCCATCCATTCTTTGGACTGAGCTTTGTGCAGTGGGGCACAGTCTCACTGGAACAGAAAAAGCCTCTGCAAAAGCTGAAAGGATAGAACTATAAAAAAATGTCTCAGTGAGCGAAAACATTAACATTTCCCTTCACTGGAACTAGAAAACAATCCCATAGCATTATCCTTCCTCCACCAACCTTTACAGCTGGCACCGTGCATTCAGGCAGGCAGTGTTTCCTGCTATTCACTAAACCCAGACTAAACTCAGTCTGGTGTCCAGACTGCCAGATAGAGAAACGAGATGAGATTTATCACTGCAGCACGTTTCCTTTTCTCCACAGTCCAGCGGTGGCATGCTTTACATCACTCAAGCCAACACTGGGCTTGCAAGGAGATGCTGCTGCCATGGCAACCCATACAAGGAAGCTCCCAGTGCTGATGTTAAAGTCAGAGGACTTTGAAATTCTGCAGTTATTGAGTCAGCAGAGCACTGGTGACTACCTATTGTGTCACTTCGGGGCAATCGTGGCTCAAGAGTTGGGAGTT